CGGCGTTGTGTGGGCCGCCAGCCCGGCTCCGGCGCTGTGAGGGCTCCGCGCACAGCCCCCTCTGCCTGCATAGCCCTGCCCCGCCCCCGTCAGCCCTGCCCCTCTGCGTTGCACTGCCTGGCCACGCTCTGCATCGCCCCCTCACCTGCCCAGCCCGGCCCCACACTTTGCTGTGCGGTGGGCTGCCGCTCTGCCATGTGCTGTGGCTCTATGGGGCAGCACAGGGCCTGCCTGATGCTGCCTGAGTGCTCCCAGCACATCTCCCTGCCGCAGAGCGCTCACTTCTGTCACAGCATCCAGGAAGGCCTGATGTTCCTGATCGCACCTTCATTGTCCTGCTCCTCCCCTCCAGCCTCTCCCTGGGGAGCAATTGATTGCTCTCCCTTTCTTGTTTGTGTGGGGATGACCCTATGGTTTGTCACATACCCCGGCATCCAGCTTCCCATGCAGCTCTTGTACCCTTCTGGTGTGTTCGGCCCCATGCTGAGCAAAACGGTGAGCCGGACCCCTCGGGCCACTTCTGTGCTCAGCACTGGGAATGCTAGTGCCCCACGCTGGCAAGGGGCACCCAAGTGATGCAGAAGTTAGCCGGGAGGAGCAAAGTGCTCCAGTATAACCAGTAAATTTTGCATCCCTGCCACAGAGGAGTGTTCGCAGGAGCCGGCAGCCTGGCCTCCATCCTGTGCTGGAGATCCAGAAGCTGTCTGGTTGCAGCTGGCGTGTCCGCAGTGGCTGTTTATGCTTCAACTGCTTTAGCTTTTTGCACCATTAATAGCAATTTCTCCATCTTGTTCGGCTTCCAGCTCATTCCATTAATCCTCCTTTGCTGCCTCTTCAGTTACTGCTGGGTTTATCCTAACTTGCCCCTGCGTATATTTTAATTATCACTGGGATTTTTACAGCCACTTGTGTGCTATCGGATTCTCCAAAGCATGTATTTTCTTTTGACAGCTTACTGGGAATGAGAGTAAACAATGTTTATGATGTGGATAATAAGACATATCTTATTCGCCTTCAAAAGTAAGAACTTCTTTACATTTTTTCATGCTGTTACAGTACCTGTGAGAGCTAGATTTTGTTGTATGTATGGAACTAGATTTTGTTGTATGTCTGTCATAGAATCACAGAATCTTTAGGTTGGAAAAGACCCTTAAGAACATCGAGTCCAGCCATTAACCCAGCACAGCCAATCCCAGCACTGACCCATGTCCCTGAGCACCACATCCACACGGCTCTGAAACCCCTCCCGGGATGGTGACTGCCCCTTCCCTGGGCAGCCCCTTCCAGTGCCTGACAGCCCTTTCCAGGAAGACATTTTCCCTAATATCCAATCTAAACCTCCCCTGGCACAGCTTGAGGCTGTTTCTCTTGTCCTGTCACTGGGGAGATGTCCTTTTGTTTGATAGATGTTTGGCTTTTCTGACTAGTTTTCAGTGAAATTCTGTTGTTCTTGGATAAAAATGCAGTAATTTTTACTCAGGAAGTTCTTGGGAGATAACATATGAAGAAATACTGCAGGAAATACACAGAAGGCCAAAGATATTAATGTAAAAACACGAAATTGTCATTGTGTCTTTTTGTGGGGAGGGAAGAGAGGAGTTGGAGGAACGAAGAGCAACTCTTCGTGACACTGGTGCCCAGGCCAGACAGGAGGTAGGGCTCATATCATGGCAGATGGACCTTCCTCATCTGCTTCCCTCCACTTGTGTTGGAGAATCTTGAACTCCTTTTCTTGCCAAGCATTTTGCTTGGCCAAATTATCCATAAACTTAAAAAGTGGATGTGCTTTCACTGTCAGCGGCACTGTTTGACGGGGTGACCAGTTTTGGCAACAGTGCACTCTGGTCGATGGTGTGCTGCTGGTTTGTGGTGCTTTGGTCTCATTCCAGTGCAAGCTGGCGTGTGGGGTAGGGGTGGCTGCTCATGTGCCAAGTGTCGAGTCTTTATTTTGTTAACAGACCCGACTGCAAGGCCACGCTGCTGCTTGAATCTGGCATACGCATTCACATGACGGAGTTCGAGTGGCCGAAAAACATGATGCCGTCTAGTTTTGCCATGAAGGTAAAGTAACCTACTGTTTCTTCTTAATAAGAGACCAGAAAGCAACGCTCATGTTCTGTCCTTGGAGCCAGAAGGAAATAGTGGAAGGATGTGCCTGGTGGATCCTGATCAAGTGGGTAGTTGAAGACGAGGGACGAGCAGTGTGGACCTGGGGTCACGTCACTGACGTTCAGTGCCTGAAACAATGAACATTTGTATTTATGAAGACTAATATGAATCTGCTGGATATTTTCTGGGCCACCTAGACCTTTTAGAATTTTACTCCAGCAAAGTCCTTGTCACTCCAGTTGGATTGTCCAGATTTTTAGGCCCTGGACACATCACCCTACAGGAATAGAGTCCTGCTGTTCAGTGTGCTGGGCTCGGGGGGCTCGCATCTCGCTGCAGGCTGCCAGGCTGTGTTCCTACAGGCAGATCTGCAGGGATCCAGCCTGAGTGCTGGCTCCCACACATCTCTGCCCGTGGCCTCGTTGAAATGACTCAGCAGAGATTCTCCGGGGTGGCTTTCCACGTCATATGTGGCTGCAGGGATAATCCTGGTTGTCTGTAAAATAAACCCTTTGCGTTTTTAGCTGGCTGCCCACTTGCTGAGCTAAACAAACAGCCGTTCTTAACGGTGGGTTAACGTTAAGAATCTGGAACAATTCCGTTCGCTATAAATATGATGGTATTACTTTGCTAAGAGCTGTCTTGTCTCTCTATTACCAGGATCAACACTTTTACCCTTGTGGTATCTGTATGAAGAAGCGGTCAGTGTCACAGCAGGGGTCTAGCTAAGAATGTGTTTCAGTATCAAATGTCACAAGCAGCTCTGTTTGCGTCATCTCACAGGCGTTTTCTCCATTGTTGACAGTGCCGTAAGCATTTAAAGACCCGACGACTTGTCAGTGTAAACCAGCTGGGTATTGACAGGATTGTGGACTTCCAGTTTGGAAGCGATGAAGCTGCTTACCACCTCATCATTGAGCTGTACGACAGGGTGAGTGCAGAACTCCCAGCGTGTCCTCTGAAAGCAGGCACGTGAGTGTGACCGTTGCTGACGGTCCCTGTGGTGTGCTCGCAGGGTAACATCGTCCTGACCGACCACGAATACATCATTTTAAACATTCTGAGGTTTCGCACGGGTGAAGCGGATGACGTCAGGTTCGCGGTTCGGGAACGATACCCAGTCGACAGTGCGAAAGCGCCTGCACCTCTGCCAACCTTGGAAAGGTAATTCCTTTTAGATGGTGTACGTATCGGAATGAACCCAGCTTGCGGGGAACGGTGAAAGGTGGAATGTCTGTGGACAGTCTCCACATGTTCCAGGTTTGGTCAAACCTGGAAATGGTTTGTAGCTTCTAAGCAATGCAGTGTAGTCTTGGAACATGTTGTTCTTTGGAATTACAGCTCTCCGCTGTCTTTTGCAGGTTGACTGAAATAATATCAAATGCACCCAAAGGGGAACAACTGAAGAGGGTCCTTAACCCGCATCTTCGTGAGTAATCTGTGTGTTACCAGAAACGGGAATGGGGTCGGTATGCTTTACCGTTAGGTGATGCAGAAAGTTTGAGCAACTTCAAGCAGGTTTTTTTTTAATGTTGTTCATGACAGTCTGCTGTTGTGTCTGTTTGAAAAATAACAAAACACCTAAGCCTTTGAAAACAGAGTAGATGGTTTTGATTCCAAGCCAACTGCACGGAGACATGAGCCTTGCAGCGATCCTGCAGTGAGTGGGACCTGAGAATAGCTCTGCTAGAGCTCTGACTTGATGCCCTTTGCCCAGTGGTACCAACAGGAGTTGTAAGTGTAAACTCAGGGCGAGGATGTTGCCAGGAAGTGCTTGGAGGATGCCAGCGCAGCCAGTCCCTGTGGTAAATCCAGGATGCTTGGTCTCTCCATCTGGGTGTTTGCTGGTAGCTGGGCAAAGCACCCTGTGCCCTGGTTCTCCTGACCACAGAAGCAGATTTGACTTGTGTGACATGGTGAGAACAAGTTTGGTTTTGCCTCCTGATTGGGCAGTGTTGATCAAGCACAGGCTTGCCTGCCAGGTACCCCCAACAGCCCCACACCACATAGAATCATAGAATCATAGAATCACAGAATGGTTTGGGTTGGAAGGGACCTTAAAGATCATCCAGTTCCAACCCCCCTGCCATGGGCAGGGACACCTTCCACTAGACCAGGTTGCTCAAAGCCTCATCCAGCCTGGCCTTGAAGACATCCAGGGATGGGGATGGTGGATTAGGTCTGATGAATGAAACTCCAGACGGTGTTCATTTTCCCACTCTTGTCATATCTGAGTGTTGTTTTGCACCTTGATGGTTTCTTGACCCTGCTGATTGTAGCAGGCTTCCTGCTCATGGTGTATCTGGGAAAGGCTTTGTCTTGGCTGGGGTTTTGTTCAGATTTTCTCAAAGTTAATTTTGGTGAGTGTTGCTGTGGTTTACATTCCCCTGCCAGAGTCTGGTCTCCCATTTTCCACAACTTCAGATAACTTGCTGCTTTTCACAGTTGTTCTTAACTTGATGTTTACTCATGCCACCCTGCCTTGCATTTTCCTGAAACACTCTTTAAGAAGTGATACACCCTCCATCTCCAAAGTAGCATCTTTCAATAGCCTGCAGGCTGTTTGCAGACACTGCCTTTTATCGATTGTCTTTATTTCTTTCATAGGATCATAGAATCTCAGCATGGTTTGGGTTGGAAGGGACCTTAAAGCCCATCCAGTTCCAACCCCCTGCCGTGGGCAGGGACACCTTCCACTAGACCAGGT